GGTCTTAGGGACGGCACCTCCTCCCCGGTGAGCCAGACCTGTGTTTGCACAACCCACCCTGCGGCGAGGGTGCAAGCGTGGTGGGACTGTGCTGGGACGGGCAGTGGGAGCACTGGGCACTAGTGGGAGCGCTGGGCGATGCCCTGTGCAGACAGCCAGCCTGCCCAGCCGGTGGCCGGGGTCCTGCCCAGCAGGCGCCGAACGGCCCCTCTCCCCTCAGGGCTGGCAGTGCCGTGCAAAGCACCTGGACTTACCTGTCCTCCCCAGAAGCTTCTCCAGCATCAAAACCTAGCAGTTTCTTTATTTAAATGTAGCTGTGTTTTATTAAAATTAATTCCCTATTTGATATTTTCCCTGCAATCCCACAGATTTTTTTCATAAGAAAGCTGGCACTGCCCTAGCACGGCTGCTTATTCCATATTGGCCTGTACAAACACGCTGGAGATATGGAGCAGGTATTTGCAGGTTGTAGGTGTTGTTTTAGACACAGGGTTTTACCGCAGGTTTTAACAACCACTGAACTGAGAGACAGTGTGGGTGAAAACACCTCTCCAGGTGTAGGTGTCAAGGCCACATCTTCAGCAAGTGGGGTTAATTCAGATTTACTAGGAAATAAGGAACCTTTATCCTTCCCCCAGCCTAGCTAATGAGGGGCTGATGGAAATGAAGAGAAAGGGACTGATTATTTATATAGCTAAGAATAAGGACATTTTCCCGTGATGCTCATCCAGGCATTATGTTTCTAAAGCACATTTTATTCTCCAGAGCAGGTATGTTTCAGAAGTACAGGGTTTGCAATGTTAGTCTGATTATAATGCAATTAAAATGAAAACAGCTCAAAGGGGAAGAACCCAGCAAGGGAAGCAGAGGAACTGCAAAAGAGGCAAAAGAAAAATCTCTTGGCAGCCCAGGGTGTGCCCCGCTGCCACCCACTCCGCTCCCCCCAGCAAAGGGGCCCGGCAGGGCACTGGTCTGGCCACGTGCCCAGTGCAGACAGGCAGCGACGAAGCCCTAGCAGTAGGTTATGGGTTTGATGAGGATGGCAGAAGCTTTGCAGTTCCCGTTGCACAGGCTGCCCCACGTCATGCCCCCCTTGACGTTCAGCCGTACAGAATAACACGCCGAGTACCACCACCCGCCCCCGTAGCTGGAGGCACAGTTCCCACTGTGACTGTCCTGATCCAGATCTTTAGCAGAGAACTTCATGTTGTCGTGGAAGGCGGAAGCACTGTTTGAGGCCATGGCATCCCCTGCTGTTCTTCCCCGAGACCTTCCCCAGCCGAAGCCGGTAGCCCTGGGACTCATCTTCCACACTGAAGAGGCTGTAGTCCGCAAAACTCATGTTGTTTGCAGCGTCCCAGACGAGAAACCTGACCTGGTAGACATTCTGCTTGGAGATCTGATGGATGTACTCGGTGCCCAGCCAGTACTCGGTGTGCACGTTCCCAAAGCCGTACTTGTAGGTGCTCCAGGACTCAGCCCAGGTGATCTCCGTGCTCTGCCGGTTCCTCTGGATGACCGTCCAGCCCCCATCCGTGACATTCATTTCGCAGTACACCACGATGGGGTGCAGTCCTGTCGGATAGATGACGTAGACGCCGCTGGGGCTGCCAGCACTTGCCAGCAGGGATCTCGCTGCAGTCCTTGGGCCAACCTGGGGCAGGAGAGAGGGTGATTTAATAAGACCCCTGTGCAACAAGGCACAGGCACATCCCATGGTCCCCTTGTGGCTGGTTCTGCAAGACCAAGACGTTAATGAGACCTGGATTGCCTGAGGAGCACAGACCATGCGAACACCATCCTCACCTGAGCACACAACGCCTGCGTCCTCGCTGTGCCTGCAGTTGTGCTGTCCCCAAGGCTGCAGCGAGCACTCAGTGAGGAGCTCCTCCTCCCCATTGCAGCTAACGTCGTCCAGCCAGATAGGCCCAGATCCACTCCCGAAATAAGCATTACTTGGGGCTGATACTGCCTCTCCACAGCCGAGCTGCCTACACACCACAGAGGCAGCTCTCATGTCCCAGTTGTCATCACACACCGTTCCCCACTCATTGCGGTACCAAACCTCCACCCGTCCGGAGCACTGGTTGGAGCCATTCACTAGCCGGAGCTGACCTGGAACATGCAAAACAACAGTAGGGAGGAGATTTGAAATGTCGGGGGGACGTCACCAAAGAAAGCTGAAACCCAGATCAGGAGGTACTTTCTGGCTCAAGAAGTGGAGTCCAGGCAGTAAGATGTAAGGCCTTTACACCTCTGATCTTGCTCCTGGATGGGGAAGGTGTCTAGGAGCCATTGTCTTCTGAAGTCTCCATTTCCAACTATTTTTGGTGTGTTGTGGCCCCAGAGCCTGGGCACAGGTTTGCCATGTGTTCCCTCAGCCAAGTGGGCATCAGCCGCCCTCTCCCACCACTGCAGGAGCTGTGTTTCACCCTCCCGGGACTGTGAGTACCCCGGGAGCAAGGCTGAGGGTGAGACAGGAGATGATGCAGCCTGGTGAAGTACCCTCAGGCAAGGGTATTTCACAGGAGAAGACCACTTTTCTAGTTCTTAGCCATCGGACAAGCAAAATAGCTGGAGGTGCTGGTGGCAGGAGAACCCTTCCTTTCTTCTGCATCTTTCTCAGTGACTGTCCCTAGTGCGGGGCAGGGGTTTTGTGGGGAGGGACAGCCTTGGCTTTGGGAGGAGATCAGAGCAAACCCTCTGGGCTTCTCCACACCTACACACAAGCAGAAAGGCCGGTGACGGCGAGGTCCCACCAGACATTTGAGGAAGGGCAGGTGACTCATGCTGGGGCATGTATCTCTCTCGAGGGATGCTGGGGCTCTGCTGACAGCTCGGGGGGAGCACCAGGCTGGAAGATGCCCTCCCCGACAGCCTGCTCCACGGTGGTCCTAGCCGTGTCCTGCTGGCAGAGGTGGAGTCCTTCCATGTACCTACCATTCACTAACGTGTTCAGAGCAGATACGGTGTTATTCAAGACAGATTGACTGAAGAGCGACAGGCTTTGGATGCTCTTGGTGAGATGTGGGGCAGGCAGGGCCAACACACAGGCAAGGAGCAGGAGGGGAGCGCGCTGGGCAGCTGGGGGAGGAAGGGACAAGATGAGAGTCAAACAGAGCATCCCACTGCTGGTGCAAAACACGCAGCGAGGAACCAGCTGCAGTGAGGTGAAACAGCTGCAAGTCACCCAAACCTGCGAGGACAGCATGGGGTTGTCTTTCGGACACAAATCTTGTAGCCGGACTCTTTGCTGTCCCCAGGCTTCCCGGCAGAGCCCAAGGTACGCAGAAAATTTGGGGAGCAAAATCAAGCAATCACAGGAGTTTCCTTTGCAGATCAGAAGAAACTTGACCAAAGTGTTTATCTAAGCGCAAACTTTAACAGAAACCTTGCGGAATATTTTCTGCCCCTCCAACTCACTAAACAGCTAGATGGTATTTCTACACTCTGGAAAATCCAAATAAAACCCCCCAAGTTATAATCAAATAAATATAATAATGTTATTAAGCTGCACCTCTGGGGGTTACAGCAGTGTTGGATTGCGAAACGTCTGGAAAGGGACAACTTTTCCAATAGTGCCTCTATTTTGGACACCCCACAATGATGGACCCTTGGTAGCAATTGGAAACCTATGCTTTTTATACACTTATTCAATCTTACATTTTTAACACATTTACACTTAGATTTATGACTCTGCTGGGCTAGAAATAAAGTGCAGTGACTATCTGCTAGAGATGAGCCTGTCGCTTCCTCTGAACCTGACAGAGGGGTACTCCGAGGAGATGAGTTGCTGCAATGTTTTTCTTTGTTCAACGTCGTCTCTGCCCCCACTGTCCCATTTGCATGGGGAAAGGCCTCTCTGACCTTCCCTCCATAGGTTTTGCCCTCCTGCTCCTGAGCACAGCCCTGGGTGGACCCTGTTTGCAGAGACCTGCCCTCGCTTTGCCTGGACCCTGAGCCTCGCTGAAGCTCTTCCCGATGCGCTCGCAGCGACGCGAGGTGTGGAGAGCCCCCGTCCCTCTGGCCAGAGCGGCGCGGTGACCGGGTCTGCAGGACTGCCAGCAGCTCTGCACCCCTCGAGTATGACCCAGCGCTGGTCTGACCCTCCTCTGCTCCCCGCTCCCTGGGACAGGGTGGCACACAGGTTCCCTCTTCCCCCACCCGACCCCTCCTGAGCTCTCCTCTGCCCTGACGCTGCCCAGGGAGCTGCTGGGCTGGGCTGAGCACACACCCAGGGACGTGCACGTCCCTCTCAAACTTTCTCCCTTGCCCTGGGAGAAGCAGCACGGACCTTGAGTCTGCCCTGCTTTGTGCCCTGTGTCATCTCCTGCCTCTGCGGTAAGTCCTCCATCCACAGGAGCAAACGGACAGCTCTGCCAGCATAGCTTCTGGGGGTCCACGGGCCGGGGAACCCACCCTGCCCCGCTCCCCACGCTCACACTCACCCATGCCGACTCCACGGGGACACTTGGAAGTCCAGAAAGTTACTGTAGATATGCTTTGAGTCACAAGATTTATAGCTGTGCTGTGCCAGGGGAGGAATGCAGCTGACACTGCTGCCGCTGGTCCCGTCCTGTTGTCTTGGGGCGTGTTAATGAGCTGCCGGCAACAGGGCTGTGACCTGAATGGGCACTTTCCGGCAGCAGGGATGTTCATCTGCTCTGATAAAAGCCCTTATCAGCACCTGAGCAAATACAGCCCAGCAGCGGCAAAGGCATCCAGGCACTTCCCATGTGTCAGGCAGGACTTTTCCTGGATATGCCACCAACAGGTGTTTGGAGACATTTGCCGAGCTCCCTCCTGTCACCTCCGCAGGGCACAACCAGAAGATCCAGCCCCACCCATCACACAGCTGAGCAGGGTCCGGGATCCCTCCTACCAGATCCGTGCCGAGGTGGACAGGAGCTGGATGCAGCAAACCAGCACTGTGGAAGACCCCAGGGGATGTCCCTGCTTTCTTCTGGAGCAAACACACGGCATAGCTCAATAGCGGTCGCAGGCACAAAGCAATGGTGGCAACCGCCCAGCTTGTCACGTCTGGGGCTCATGTCAGGAACAGAGTTAAAGGGACTGGACCAGCTGAAACATAGAATCATAGAATCATTAGGGTTGGA